TCGGCCGCTCTCCCAGCCGCTCCAGGGCTTGACGCCGCCCCGCCGTTGCTTCCACTTTGAAAGCCTTCAAACCCGCGTTCCGGGGCTCTTCCCACTCTCCGGGCCCCGACCCCCCGCAGCTGTCCAGTAACCCCCGGTCTGGCCAACACTAAGTCGGTCTCTGCGCGATTAATTCTCTCTCAATGCTTGCGCAGACTTAAAGGCACAACGAGGACGCCGTGCTGTATTATTTTGTAAATATTTCCTATTGCTACAGCGCGATTCGGAATATTGAAATCACGGAAGCATTTGAATATTTCTAAGCGATTTTTAGTGGCATTCCTTTAGCATTGGGTAATTACGAAGTTCTTTCGAGTCTCAAAATAGAGGCATATTAGCAACAATAGTATACTAAAAATTGCTTGAATGTTTATCACAGTGGGGGTTTGAATGTGTGTTATTTGTTTTAGTTTCTATAATCATAGGATTATAGAACCAAGGATTCTAAAGCCGGAAACCGGTTCAGGAATATATGCCAACCCCTTCAGTTTATAGGGTTTTTTTGTTGTTGTTGATTTGTTTTTTTTAAAGCAAGCCATCTGGAAGTTCTCTTGGAAGTAGAACCTACATTTTCTGACTGTCTCGATACTATAATGTGACAGATGTAACATGATTGAATCACTCACTGAAATAAAGTACATACTATCTCTGTTAAATGATTCTCAGATCCAAGTCGGTTTTTGTTGTTGTTTTGTTTGTGTGTTTATTTTTAATTTGGTGCAGTATCAGGACGGGAAAATTAGAACTAATCTTTGAGTGCCTACTATACCTGGCATGTGCTAGGAACTTTCATATCCCTAATCTTATATAATCTTTTCCATACCCTGTCAGGTAAGTAATATCCCCATTAAAAATAAGGATGATGAGTCAATGAGAATGAATAATGTCCGTTTGCCCTCAAGGGCAGGAGATTCCAACATAGGTGTATTGGATTTCCAGAGGCTATTTTTTTTTCTATGATAAACTAACATAAATTAGATGACTCTGCTTTCTTAATGTCTAATATTTCCACCATTTGTTCTTTATAGAAAAAGAGCCTAGATATAATGATGGTTTTATGCAGAAGAAATATTTTGATTGTTTTTGAGCTCTGCCACTTGAAGATGTAGAGGTGTCAAACTTCTTCTGCTATACTGATTCTTAAGATTGCAAAAGTTAAGTGAAAAAATCTCATTTAAAATAGTAATCTGCACTGTCTCAGATCCGGTGACAGTGTACGTTTCTTTTGGGCCTACAAATGAAATGTCTGACTATTTTTATGTCATTTTAATCTTGAGAATCGTGTAATTGATAAGATTCCAGGTGTTCAGGTGGCAGGCAGTGAATAGACTATTTATCGATCCAATGAGTAGAGTGCTGTAAGAACTGCTCTGAAAAGTGCCGCACAGCTTTAGCTAGAATCTCCTACAGGCATACCTTGGATATTGCAGGTTGGGCTCCAGACCACCATGATAAAGGAGATCAGACGAATTTTTTGGTTTCCCAGTGCATATAAAAGTTACATTATACTGTAGTCTCTTAAATGTGCAATGGCATGATGTCTAAAAAATGTACATACCCTAATTTAAAAATATTGCTAAAAAAGGCTAACCATCATCTGGGAGCTTTCAGCAGGTCATAATCTTTTTGCTGGTGGAGGGTCTTGCCTTGATGTTGGTGGTTGGTGACTGATCAGGGTGGTGGTTGCTGAAGGTAGAGTGGCTGTGGCAACTTCTTAAAGTACGGCAGTGAGGAAGTTTGCATTATCGATTGACTCTTGCTTTCATTAATAATTTCTTTGTAGCATGTGATGCTGTTTGATAGCATATCTACCCACAGTAGAACGTCTTTCAAAACTGGAGTCAATACTCAAACTGTCCTGCTGCCTTATTAAGAATAGAAAATGTAATATTCTAAGTCTTTCGTTGTCATTTCCACCATCTTCACAGTCTTTTCACCAGGAGTAGAGTCCATCACAAGAAACCACTTTCTTTGTTCATGCATAAGAAACAACTTCTCATCCGCTCAAGTTTTATCCTGAGATTGCAGCAACTCAGTCACCTCTTTAGGCTTCACTTCTAATTCTAGTACTCGTGCTATTTCTACCACATCTGCAGTTCCTTCTGCCACTGAAGTCTTGAACCTTCAGTTTTTAAAAAAACGCAGTATCTGTGAAGCGCAGTAAAAACGAGTGCAATAAAACAAGGTATGCCTGTACTTTTTAAATTTCAAGGATTATCAGCAGCTAAAATATGTCTAAGGCATGAGTGAAAGGAAAGAAAATGGGAGGCAAAAAAGACACAGCATATCATGAGAAAAAGTTGAATCCTTCCTTTTTATTCAGATCCTTCTGAACAGAAGATAGCTAAAAGGCCTTGGAATCTGGAGGTAATCCAGTAGTCAGTAGTTAAGAATAATGATCAAATAATTCCAGATTGTATGTTCTAATCACAGTTTTCTTCCTTATTAACAAAAAACAATGTGTTAAAATTCACAAATACATATCCTAAAGCTTGAATGGCCCACAGATAACTGTCTAGATTACTCATTACTCTGTTGTTGGGACATATTCTATAGGACATGGCATCTGAAAACAACTCCACCTCTCTCTAGAGGTGAGAGCAGAAGTGCTGAAAAGAGTAAGTGGCACATTTGAATTGGTGCCAGAATATTCTTTTGCTCCTACTTCTTCCATATCCTTTCAGTATCCCTGAACTTCATGCAAACTTTAGTACTGCTACAGGGAACGTTGAAAAGTTCTGAGTAGTTTCCCCAAATTTTGGAGGAAAAGCACAGGGGTTTAGCATGTTTGTGGGTAGTATGCTTTCCTCTTAGGATTTTATTTCCATAACACAATTGATGTTAGTACTTTCTGCCCTGAACTTTTCCTTATACAAAATATCTGCATAAATATGCGTAACTACGTATTTCTGTTTTGGATGTGGACTTAAAGGGAAGATCAGTTTAGAATGTGTTTGAAAAGATTCCAGATGGGAGGCTTACAATGCCAGATATTAAAACATATCACAATACTATAATAGTTAAATCAGTAGTCCTGATGCAAGATGAGATAACATGATGGAATGGAAAAGAAACTACATAAACAGCCTAGCACACCAGACTATTTTATGCTTAAAAGGTAGCATTTTAATTCTGGAAAAACAATTACTCATTCAGTAAGTGGCCTGGGTATAGCTAGAGGAAAATGATAGTGGAGCCTTAGGACTGAAGAGTTAATGTAGGGAAATTAGGGTATACCATATCAGAAGAAAATATGTGACTCTTTTCAAATCTTAAGTTGAGAAAAGAAAAATGAATTGGGTAAAACTATGAAGGAAGATTGGTAGATAAAACTTTAAAAAAAGTAAAAAAATATGGTTTTAAACACCATAAAGTAAGAAAGCAAATGACAAACTGGGGAAAATATTTGAAATATATATGATAGGCAAAAATAAAGATTAATAACTGTACAAATAAAAGTTATTTGTAACTTTTGAAAGTTGAAAAATGACCAATGGATATGTACAAGCAATTTACACAAGAAGAAATACAATATGAATCAAAGAAACCCAACCAAAAATGAGATTTTTTTCTTCTTCAATTTGCAAATATTAAAAAGAATTTTTGAGAAGAGCATGGGGAAATGAATTAGTCTGGTGATGGGAGCACAAATTTGTATGACCTTTTTGAAGGAGAAGTTTAGTGATGTGTCTGAAAAGCCTTAAGTGTGTATTCTCTTTAACCTAATCGTTCTGCTTTACATATTCTTAGAGGGTCACATAGGCCATCCATGTCATGTGGAAGACATTTATTCTTTTCAGATGCCCAAAATTTGAACCTCCTTTCTTTATTGTAGTATCGCCCATCAAATGAGTCTTGTAGGGGTATTTGTTGTAGTTGTCTGACTACCTCCTACCTACCTCCCTAGAATGTAAATTCTATAAAGATAGAAGTTTTGTTCCCTGTTGTATCCCCAGTATCTAGAATTGGGAAGAGCTTAGAGGAGGTGACCTATAAAAAGAGGCTGAGTGCCGCGTACTCATTTTTCCAGCCTCCTTTGCAGCTAGGTTGTGGGCAAGTGGCTTGGACTTGGTTAGATGAATCTGTGCTAAATTTGGACTCGGAGTAAAGATGTAAAAACAAGGAGCTGCAGAGGTTTCTTACCCAGCAATAGAATCTATAGGAAGATCGAGGTCCCTGACATAAAAGGCAGAGCTGCAAACGGCAGCGTGTTCCTCCCCAGTGACAGCAGCGGTTAGCTCGCCGGTCCTGTTCTCTGCCATCATTTCAGAACTTGCTCTTCCTTGCGGAGATCAGAGGCTGGTTCTCCAGCTTCCCTTGCCGATTTTGTGAGTGACTTCATATTCACTTCTGAAAATTTTATTTTCTTAATTTTAAAATTTGAAATGTATGTACAAAAAGAATAGGTAAAATAAGTATCATTTAAGTTAAACATGTTTAACTTCCAGATTAAGAAATCGACTAGAACCAGTACCTTAGAAGTTTTCTGTTTGTCTTTCACGGATTAGAATGCTCCTCCCACCCCATAGGGTACCAGTATCTTGATTTCTAGTTAATCACTCTTTTCTTTATAGTTTTGCCACACACGTGTCTATCTCTAAACAGTATATTATTTGGTTTTGGAATCCTAGCATACGTTTTCTTTTGTGACTTAGTTCTTTTAGTAAATGTATGTGTTTTAGATTCACACATTACTTGTATTCCGCTAATGTGCCCTTGCATGGCTGTACCTGTTTTGACTTGATGTCCATTCTGATTAGTCAGTTTCTGTGCTGCCTGGTTATTAAATATTTTGAAAATCACCCCTGGATT